ATTCAAATAATAAAAAATTCAAAGTTTTATACTTTTTTGTTCTTCTGAAATATTACCTAATAGGTTGCTATTTTTTCAAATTCTTTGACAGCTCTGTTAAAAGGCGAATGTGTATCAGAATTGCATTGTTAAAAAAATAAGGTCAAAAATAGTTTTTTTTAGATTATGTTGTTATAAAACTTCACAAAAAACCAGAAAAATTTTTTTTTATCAATTTGATGTGTACTTTTAAATAAAACTTGGCAAAGTTTAATTGATTAGTGTTTCTTATAACAGGTATTCACTGATGAACTTTGATATCTTCCTATTCTTTTTTTTTAAAATAATGTTATCTTTTTTTCCAGGAGGTTATAATTTCATGCCTACAAAATCAAAAAATATTGTTTATTATCACAACAATAATTTTTATTCGGAAAATTCATTTGCAAAGAAAGTGCTGTTTGCAATTCAAAAGATATGGATGAAAATTTGAAGAAGTCGGCGCGTTGGAGCTCTTTGGAGAGAGGGGAGACATGCCGAGTACCAACGACTTGTTTGCGTGTTTCTCTCAAACCAACAGTTGCATCTGAGCATCTACTACTGGCATTTTTTTTCTGATCCGGAACCGTCAAACAATGTCCATGGTCTCAATAAATTTTCCGATAAATTTATTTCAGAATGCCTAATAAATTTCATTCACTGGACAGTCAAAGTGCAATCTGCAAAATATCCGTTTAAAGCTCAAAGTTTCTTAGTAAAAGGTGTACACGAAATTTATTTTTAACAATGTTTTATCTCATAGTTCGGTGCAGACCTTTGTTTTAGAACATTGATGAGTGGTTATGAATATGTAATTATGGATTTTTTACTTAAAAATGCTTAGCTGATCAAAGAATCATTTAGAAGCACTATGTAAAGGTTAACTGACTGCAGAGCCACAATAGTTAAGCTTTTTTGCCAACTTCCGTTTCGCAAATTGACATGCTGAGGCAAATTTTTCTGTTAATTTGAGAGACTCGGCGCGCAGTTTCATCTACATCGTTTAACCTGATTAAAATTTGTAAAAAAAATGCGGACCCAAATGTCCTAAAATGGTACCAGTTCCTAAACTAGTTAATAGAAAGAAAGGCTGGAAAACTGCTTGTCGTGTCATTATCATCGCTGTAGCAGTATTCTACCTTATGACAGCATCAGTTGATAGAGAACATTAAAAATAAGTGGATCATAAGCCGCAAAATCCTGTCTGTTTTAAAGTTGTATCAAAATGACAGTCGCTTTAGCGTGAAAGTTTAGGGTTCGGAGTCTACGGATGAACGGTATTGATATAATCCTTCAGTACAACCACCTTATCAACATAGAAAGGCCTACCTATTTTTTTTCACATTTGTTATAATCAAGATTATTCAAGATCTTGCGTGGCATCTATAATCTATTTTTCGGAAACTTAACCTTTTTTTGCTAATTTCTGGCTTTTGGTATGTATGTTTCTTCACAGAAAACAGAGCTATGGGGAAACAGTAAACGAATTGGTTCACCAATACAGCTTTAACGCTGACTGCAGAGCAGACTGGAGAACAATGTTGAAGTGATCCAAAAATTTACCCTTTATCTTAAGGAATATCACGTAGGTTTTTTAAATAACGTTGTTGATTAACCGTGTTGCCGTAGATTTAGCAATTTTCTAGAAGGATTTTTAAGTTTTTTTATTTTTAGTATTATGTTTTTTGCCCTGGCTATTGATGATAAGTGATTACATCAAGAAACCAATAGACGCGATAGATACGAAGTACATAGAGATGTTCTGTTTTTTATTTTTACAAATACTACTCGACTTTAAAATTTATGTGGAGACTTCACAGTGTGAGATACTAGTTCTTTTTTTAGCTCAGCTACTTTTTTTTGAGAGCTAAACATTTTTAAACCTTTTGAGCGGAAATTGTATTAGGTAAGGATTTTCCAAACGCTTCTTCTCGCTCTCTCCCATCCTCC